CGAATGCGCGACTGCTGATGATGTACCCGCCGACGAGTCTCAAAGGAACGCTTCTCCCGAATATGCAGAAAAACTTGAGGCTGAGCAAGAGCCAGACGCTGAGCACGAACTTGGACTGTCTCCGTCGTCTAGACGGTCAACAGCATCACAAGTAGCGCGAGACCTGCTTCCGCCCCAAAAAAGCACTTCCAAACCTGACTCTCACTCGGTATTCAATCATCTCCTCTTGAACGACGATCCTATGGATGGAACTCGAGTTCTTCGTAAGCGCAAGACGTCTTCTGTCGAAGCTGAGGAAATCGTCATGTCGCTCAGAAAGCGTCGACGAAACACGTCCAAAGATCGAGAATCAAGCCATGGTACAGGCACAGCACAGGAGGGCGCCAACGGAGCTGGGGAAAAAGATACACGACGCAAACTACGTCTACACCCCCCTCGAAAGTCAAAGGCGGTTACCGTCACTCGACGAGGTCAGTCCACCATTGTCAAGATGCGTGTCAAGCCAGCCGCCCTTCGCCGAGTGCTGTCAAGAAAGTCCTCGTCCAATCGAAGAAGAACAGAGAAAGTGGTAGACGCGACGGCTTCGTCCCACGATGGATTGGCTGCAGCCATGGCAGCTTCCTTTACTTCTACTGATTACTCACATCCCTTCTATTCCTTCTTGGACCGAGAGACCGACGATGTAAGAACAAAGCCATACGGAGGCATTCTCAGTGAGAACGAAGCCGATACATCAAGGACTTTGCCGACCAATGATGATCGTCGAAAATTCGATGAAGCCAAGCAAAAAGCCGAGGAGGTATGGCGGGCTCGTCTTCACAGTGTCCAACTCAACCTAGCGACACCAGCCAAGAGGCCCAAGAAAAATGCTGGACCGGCGAGCCAAATTGAGTGTATCGATTTTGGAGGCTGGGAAATCGACACTTGGTATGCCGCTCCCTATCCAGAGGAGTACAGCCGGAATCGCACTCTCTACATTTGCGAATTCTGTCTCAAGTATATGAACTCGGATTATGTCGCCTGGCGTCATAAACTCAAGTGCCCAGCCAAACATCCACCGGGTGACGAGATATACCGGCATGGATCCGTTTCGGTCTTCGAGGTTGACGGCCGAAAAAACCCCGTCTACTGCCAGAATCTCTGTCTCCTCGCCAAACTATTCTTAGGGTCCAAAACACTCTACTACGATGTTGAGCCGTTCCTTTTCTACGTGTTGTGCGAATACGACGCTCTTGGCTACCACTTTGTTGGTTACTTCTCCAAGGAGAAAAGAGCCAGCAGCCAGAACAATGTTTCTTGCATTCTAACCCTGCCTATACACCAGCGAAAAGGCTACGGTAATCTTCTGATTGACTTTTCCTACTTGCTCACTCGCGTAGAGCGCAAGACTGGATCACCTGAGAAGCCTCTTTCGGACATGGGCCTCGTCTCCTACCGCAACTACTGGAGGCTGGTACTATGCCGGTATCTCCTTGACCATGTCGAGGAGGATAAGTCTACGGCACCGGGCCTCAGTGTTCGGCAAATGTCCGACGATACAGGACTGACTCCTGACGACGTTATCTCTGCCCTCGAAGGTCTCCGATGCCTCGTCCGTGATCCAGTTACGGAACTCTATGCCTTCCGTGTCGACCTTTCGTACTGTAACGAATACATAGCAAAATGGGAGAGCAAGGACTACGTCAAACTGAATCCAGACGCGCTCACCTGGACTCCGTACGTCATGGGACGAGGCAATGCTACAAACTTTGAGTTGGGTCCAGCTATCAGCGCGATTGCACCACGAGAAGAAGATGACATCCACAAATCTGTACAGAGTGTATCGCTACCAGCCTCTCAACAAGAAGCAGCAGCCAATGGCACCATTGACAAACCTGCCGTTGCCGAAGGCGGCCCGTCGACCATCACTGAGGATACTGATACAGAAGCGACTGGGCCGAAACTGGAGTCCAATATCTACGAATCGATGGAGCCACATCCAGACGGTCTAATGAACGGCGAGACTGGCCTAGAACAGGCTGAGGATGAGCCGTCACAGCTCAAGGAAGCGCTCCAGTCTACCCCCGAACAATTGGTCGGAGGCGACTGGGCCAGCCTGTACAAAGACGTGCCTCCATCGAGGTTCGAAGTATATCCGCCTCCAGGGGGTCGACGGTCTGACCGGCCGCGACCCAGTGTACCTCGGCCTGTTGTGGTACGCACAACGAGCAGCAACTCCAGACCACGTCGTTCGGGCGGTGGCAGCAGCGCGAGACGGACCACATCGAGCCGACCCAAAAGCAAAAGCTCATCGTCGTCATCTCGGCGTAAAACTGGGGGGACGGGACGTGGACCGGGCCGTTGGCCGAAGGGTACTAAGAAAAGCGATTACGGTAATGCCGACAGTGGGCCCGGTCTCCCGCCAGGCTGGCTTAGAGAGAAACAAGAAAAACAGCGGCTGGCTGGCCTTGCTGTGACCAATGGCGAAGAGGTCGAAGGGCTCACCGCCGAGGGCAACGAGACAATGGATGTGGTTCGCGTGCAGTTTCAGGAAGGGGAACACGAGGACGCGGGAGCCGAGAGAGCAGCAAGCGACCTCAATGGTGCCGTTGGCGGCCAAGCAGAGGACGAGTGATGCCAAACAGCCGATACCCCCTTACACTATTATTATTCCTAGTCTCATTCGAGCCGACCTGTAACATACTGTTTCTAGTAATGCAAGCGCAGCAACTATTTGTTGATTCATATTCTTCTTTTGATTCAAACTGACAGCTGGGGAAATATATTCAGCCAGCGTCCCTAGTGCGGCTGAAGGTAGCTCGGAGAGGTATCAGTAGTACTGCCAATAAATGTATGCCTTTAAAAAAAAAATTAAAAAATTCAATCATTCTTGTGTACAAATCTGCAGGCAAGTAGACCTAAACCAGAGGTGGACATTACTAAGTATTGAGATGTGGCTGACTGAAGGTGTGTCTGGGTTCTAAATTCTGTGGCATCCACGGTTGTCAGCCACATAGTGTGATGGTGAACCTCGGCCCAGCCTCTTCCCAGCACTTTCTGTTATAAAGAAACTGGCTGCCACGCTTCCTATCCGTACCATCCCTCGCAAACACGTCTCCGGCCACCTCAGAGGACCTCGCGATAGCATACCTCCGTATCCATTCTACTTAGCACGTCGACCGTAGAGGAGCCGAAGCTAAATTCACTCAGCCTCTCTTGATGACATGGCCGCAGCCTCCGACTTGACCACCTTCTTGTTGCCTTCACCCAATCGCTGACTTACGCACCTTCTCAGTACGGGCAAGCCCGTGGTAAAGTCTTTGTCTACGTGACACATAGGATGCATGGGCAGCGACGCATTTTCTGAGGAGATTATGCCCGAGTGAACATGGAAGTGAGTGTGTAGACGTGTAGTAAAGCTGCAATGATTGAGGTAATACCTTGGTAAGAGCCGAACAGGTAAGCATGCTGGTAAGGTATCTTAGGTAACTTGGCTGAAATGTCTGCCCATATGGAAGTATGGAAGTCGGGTGTTAGGTTGGCGAGGTTGGGTCCGGCATCAGGGTATCCGCCAGCCGCGTATCCGTCTGTGAGGTGTCGCTGATGGGGTCTACTTGTACCTTAACCCCAAAGCACATGCTTAAATACCACCCACCTAGGTCAGGTAGGTAGCTTTTTTTTAATCGCCTGCAATATGTGAGGCAAAGGTACTCGTCTGGATGAAGACCTGCAGAAGCACATCCTGTTGCATGTTGTTCAAGGCACACCGCCAGCTTTGCGCTACCGAGATGGAAGTACAGGCATCCGCTACACCAAATGACAACGTTAATTTTGTCAAAGTGCCCTAGGCCATATCTACTCGATGACCTCGCCTTTTCTGTAGACCTCCACGACCTCTGTGAATCGACTTGCCATCCAGGTGAATGTCTACTAAGGTACGAAGACACCTTGAGACCTTACTTGTCAAGTAAGGTATTGGTACTTTGTGCCGGGGCAAGGTACGGATACCTTTACCGACACAGCCTTCTGGCTCCACACTGAGGTGACTTCTACGCAGTAGGTAGGTACTCCGTATGCGTGGGATAGACCTGGAAGGAGAGTGCTCCAGTGCTCCAGTGCTCCAGCGCTCCAAAGTCTTGGACCTCCGAGTCGCAGCCTCCGTCTCCGACCGCCCGGCCAAGTTGCATTACGCACACGCACTCGCCGCACCGCCAGAGACATGAAGTGTGACACTCAGGTCGTCACTCCCGCCCCAGTGCCAAGTGCCCAGTGCCCAGTGTCAAAGTCAGTGCCAGTGCCAACCGAACCGGGACCTTTCTGTCTTTTTGCCTTCCAAGTTCCACGTTGCTTTCTCAAGTTGCTCGTCTTTGACAAACTTTAATGCTTCATCTTCAAAACTTCCATCTTCCGACAATCGCGACGTTCTAGGCACAAGCAAGCGCCATATTCGTCGACGAAAATCTACCCACTAGCCAGCTAGGCAGTCCGTCTCCGTCCCTCAGTCTGCAGGGCTCCGCTATCCGCCGTCATCTGGCCTGCCTCCTCACTCCAACCTCTGGCGAAGTCGGCCTTACGACCCGTTCATCCCCCTCCGCCGACCCTTCGTCTGCCAACGCTCTGTGCTAAGCCGCCCTTCGATTCGTTGGACCAAGCTGTCGTCACAAGCGCCCCTCCCACCTCCAACCTTTGCCATCCATCATCAGCCTGCCTCCTTGCTGCGCTCTTATCCAACCCTCCGACAACACTGTCAATCATTCTGCGTGCTACTGCTCGTCGCATCAGCATTAAGCAATCGCCTGCGTTGGGCTCAAGCTCTCCGTTGTCGCCCCAATCGCGCCCAGCTACATCCCATCGCTGTCGTCACTTTCTTCCAGCGCATCCGACAGTCCACTTTCTCCCAAACAATACCCAACCTCCCTACCTTACGGGAACCGGCTTTGGCATCGCCTGCCAATCCATCGCACACCACACTCTGACACAACAACACCCTCAGACGGACTGACGACCACAACACCGCCAAAATGTCTAAGGTTATGCGAAGTGTCAAGAACGTGACCAAGGGTTACTCCAGTGTCCAGGTCAAGGTCAGAGAAGGTGAGTCGCAGCTTTCCCGAGCAGTCATCCTCATTAAGTCTTTGGAATACATCCTGACACCCGGCTCTTAGCAACCAGTAATGATCCATGGGGCCCTACCGGAACTCAGATGAGCGAGATTGCTCAGCTCACGTACAACACGTAGGCTTTTCCTTCACCCATCGACCCTGGGAGTACGCTCAATTGACAATTCAGATCTACCGAGTTCTATGAAATCATGGACATGCTCGACAAGCGCTTGAACGACAAGGGAAAAAACTGGAGGCACGTTTTGAAAGCCCTCAAGGTGCTCGACTACTGTCTGCACGAGGGCTCCGAGCTTGTCGTGACGTGGGCGAGACAGAGCATCTACATCATCAAGACATTGCGCGAGTTCCAGTATATCGATGAAGATGGCAGAGATGTCGGTCAAAACGGTATGCGCCGCCCTCTACCATTCCTAGTGCATTCACTTTAGTCAATTCTCGGGATTTCTAACAGAGTGGCCAGTACGTGTTGCCGCCAAGGAACTTACGTCACTCATCCTGGACGAAGAGAGGCTTCGAGCCGAAAGAAGCGATCGCAAGTCATGGAAGTCCCGCGTCACCGGGCTAGAAGAATTCGCTCCTCAGCACACCAGCCCTACTCAGCCGAGGGTCCGCCGCCGTATGAGCAACGAGGACGATACCGAATACAGACTCGCCATTGAGGCTAGCAAGCATCAAGAGGAAGAGGACCGCCGAAAACGAGCCGGCCGCGGCGCCAACGAAACCGAGGACGATGACCTAGCTAAGGCGATCAAACTCAGCAAAGAGGAGGACGAACGGCGCAGGCGAGAGATGGAAGACAACAACGCCTCGCTCCTCTTCGATGACACCCCTGTTCAGTCAACGCAACCCCAGTACACTGGATTTAACCAAGGCTACCAGCAAGGAAGCGCTGTAGACTTCTTCGCCAATCCTATCGACCAGAACCAACTTCAGACGCAACCCACCGGTTACATGAATAATGCCTACACCGGATACCAACAGCCGCAAGCGACAGGATTCCAGAATGGCTACGGCGGCAACGGGTTCGGCATGGGGATGGACCCTTACGGACAACAACAGGGCATGCAAGGCTTCCAGCCGCAGCCAACGGGCTACAATCCTTACGCTCAGCAGAATGTTACCCCTCAGGAGACAGCCTCGCAGCCAGGAAGCAATAACCCGTGGTCGACTGGTTCGATGAAGGCGGGCAACCCGATGAAACCAATGCAGACGGGTTCCAACAACCCATTCGCGTCCTCATTCGGCCGTCCTCAGACGCAATCTTCTATGCCCCCCTTGCCAGAACAGAAGACACTCTCGGCTTTCAGCCAGCCCAACTTCGCCCAGCAGCAGCAGCAGCAGCAGCAGCAGCAGCCGCTGCCTCAGCAACCTCAACTGACAGCGCAGCCGTCTTTTGGAACTCCACAGAAGGAGCTTACAGACCACGAAGCCAAGCTGAACGCCTTGCTTGCTGGGGGAGACGGTATGGACACATACGGCAACACCGGCCAGACACGTATTCCCGCGCAGCACACTGCACCTGGGACCTTTGTCAACAGCGCCGGCTCTGGTGCTCAGCGACTCACTGCAGAGGCAACTGGAAGCAACCCCTTCCTCCGATCACAATTCACAGGCATGCCCAGCATGTCATATGGGCAGCAAATGCCGGCTGCTACAGGTCCCGCAGGTATCAACGGCAGTAACAATCCATTTGCGGTCGGAAGACCACAGCAGCAAAACACTCAGCCGCAGGATCTCATTCAGTTTTAGGTCGCCGTGTCACGGGTGATATACTGCGAAGGCTGATGCAGGTGCTTCATCATCGACACTGTCCAAGCTAGCGATTGTTTGCAATAAGGTTCAAAAGGATTCTTTGATTGTTTTATTTTTAGAGTCTGGGGGATGCGGAGGTTTTTACTTGCGGTGCGGTCACATACCCGTCAGAGGACTCAACTTGTTCCTGTTCATAGTTGGCCGGCGGTTTGCTTCGATTTACATTTACACAGCTTGTCTATAGCGCTCTTCAATGAGCCAATTATGATCTTTGAAATCTTGCCACAGCATATACCACAAGCCCATACACTATCACTCGTCAACGCTTTCAGTGATGATTAACGGAGGGGTTTAATGTCGTCTCATGACCGTTGCGTGCAGTACCGTGCTTCCCTTGCAAGATGATCACGATTAGCACTTACACCCAGTAACCATCTTGGCCAAAACTTCTACTTAATCTTTCGATTCTACTGAAGGGTTACGGCAAGGCTGTGTTCTCGAGTGTGGCAGCCTAGGTAGAATCATAAATGAGCACCAACTGGTCGTGGATTCGTAATGCAAAGAAAGGTTTCTGACAAATGCACAAGGTCCAGACTCTCCCTAATTTCAACGGAAGACTACTTGACCTATTGGGACCGGATTAATGGGATCTCAAGTAGGTAGATATCCCTTGGGACATGCATTTGGTTGTATGAATCAACGTCAATAGCCAAAACGTAATCTGATGACCTAGTAGGCGTTTTTCCATGGATGTCGTTTGTGCCCACGATGTGAGAGCTGCAAAGGTACCATTACTAATAAAACTAGGCGGAAGCTACTTACGGGTGGCTCTGCCTACAACTGCCTGGAACAAGATTCTAGCTTGATCATTGGCTGATTTTTCCAAGCTTCTTCAATTTGTCGAATCGGAGACAGGCATTGTCCTCAGGCAGCAGTTGCCGGAAGCTACCTAGCACGCCTAGATCTCGCCCGCGGGAGCTACTACCTCACCTTACCTAAGCTTCCCGCGCTACTTGGGCACCTTTCCAACCGCGCCAGCTTTGGAGGTAACCTCTGCAAAGAGACGTGAGCTCAAGGCCATTTACCTACTTAAATCATTTCACCCTTCTCGTAGGCATACGCGACTAACCCGCAAACTTCACCTGGCAAGTTTGACAGCATTTTTGACTGCTGCATTTCTGTTGTCTTGCTGCTTCGGTCGACGTCTTGACGACTTGCATTCCCCAGTACCTTCCTTGGGCTGTTCCATCCCCTGCCCCTTTCGTACCAGTCAGTACCTGGGCAGCGCGCATCCCTTCCCACCCCCCAGCCTTTTTTTCTCCACGTATCTCTCCGTTCCTCAGCGCGCTTCGCAAAGTGCAAAAAAAACTCGACCACAATCTTAGCTAGGTGTACTCGACACAGCTCACCCAAGTCACGTCGTCAATCGATTCCGCCGACGCGACGACAGCACATCAACATCATCGGCACCCCTCCGATCCGATTGCGCTGCATGTTTGTCCGCAACTGATTGTCGGCGACACATACTGCGTCCACGAGCCTGGACCTACGCCCTCGTCGCGCCATCGATCAACTGGCCACGACCGTATCACGACTTCGTCGCTGCTAGTCATCGCCCATCATGTCCGGCTTTGGCAGCACCGGCTTCGGCGGCTTTGGCTCGACCAATAATCAGCAATCTACTGGTTTTGGCGGTTTCGGGGCCACCAACAACACCACTGCTAGCACTGGTAAGTAGAATCCATCTCCGTCGCATCACCTCACCTTGTCGTCCTGTCTCATTCCACTCCTTCCCCGATTGCCTGCCAACTAACTACCGTGTGCTCAAGGCTTCGGCTCTGGCAACACTACAAACAATGCCTTTGGGTCTACCGGTACCACCAATACCGGTGGCGGCTTGTTTGGCGGCGGCGGCGGCACAACCAGTGCTTTTGGCGGCACGTCATCGGGTAGGTTGATCTCGCCGCTGTCAGGAGTGGATGATGCACAGGCTCCATCAATAGCATGCTAACTTGACGTGCTTTCTAGGATTCGGTGCCAACACAGGCTCGACCTTCGGTGCCGCAAAACCCGCCTTCGGAGCCACTCCATCTACCGGAGGTGGCCTTTTCGGTGCATCCAGCACCAACAACACAACAGCCGCTCCGTCTACAGGCTTTGGCGGCTTCGGCGCCAACACCGCAACTACAAATACCTCATCGCCTTTCGGAGGCACCTCGGGCGGGGGCTTATTCGGCAGTGCCAACAAACCCGCTTTCGGCTCCGGCACCGCTAATACTACCGGCGGCACATCGCTCTTTGGCGGTACCACGTCTACTGGTTTCGGCGGGACTACGAATACTACCAGCGGTGGCTTCGGCGCGACGATGAACCCCGGCATTGGATCCAACGTTGGCGACCCGCCAGGCACCGCGATCACTCCCTTCCAAGCACACCAAGAGAAGGAGACTACTGGAGCTGGAAACCAGTCCAACTCCTTCCAAAACATCCTGTTCCAAGAGCCGTACAAGAAGTGGTCGTCCGATGAGTTGAGGTTGGCTGACTACGCTCAAGGCCGTCGTCACGGCAATGCCAGTGGAGGAGGAGCCTTTGGTGTTTCCAATTTTGGCAGTGGCGGATTCGGAGCGACGAACAACCAGCAGACCACAGGATTCGGAACAGGCGCTTCTACTGGAGGAGGCCTCTTTGGTGGTGGAGCCAACAATACCACAAACACAGCAACAAGCACCGGCGCCTTTGGAGGTGGTTCTACCGGAGGTTTCGGTGCTGGCGGCGGTGGCTTGTTCGGAAACAATGCCGCTAAGCCGGCGAACGGGGGAGGCCTTTTCGGCAGCGGAACAGCGACCACAACGACACCTGCTCAGTCTGGCGGTCTCTTTGGCGGTGGTTCTACCGGAGGTTTCGGTGCCACAGGAACCACTGGTGGATTCGGAGCCACCAACAACAGCACTGGAGGCGGTCTTTTCGGCTCGAACAACACCGCAACCCAAAACAAGCCGTCAGGCTTTAGCTTCGGAAACACTGGAGCGACTACCGGTGGCTTTGGGAACACCGCGAGCACCGGCTTCGGGGCGAACAACAACACCGCCGGCAACACCAGCACTACGGGTGGGTTATTCGGAAGCAACACCGGACAAGCTACAGGTGGTGGTCTCTTTGGCAACAACCAAGCACAGCCTCAGCAGCAAAGCACCGGCTCGGCGTTTGGTGGAGGATTCGGTCAGCAAAACCAGCAGACAGGCGGCGGTGGACTGTTCGGAAATACCCAGCAGAAGCCAGCAACAGGAGGTGGTCTCTTTGGAGGCGGCGGCGGCGCGACGACAGGTGGAGGACTTTTCGGCGGTGGAAACACTTCTTCCACCTCATTTGGTGCCACAAATACGAACACGAACACTGGCGGTGGCCTCTTTGGCGCGAAGCCGGCAGCTACCGGCGGAGGTTTATTTGGATCCAACCCGGCAGGACAGACCAACAATGCTGGTGGCGGCCTCTTCGGCGGCGGCTTAGGCCAAAGCAATCAGACTCAGCAACAGACTGGACAAACTTCTCTATTCGGAGGGGCCCAAAACCAGGCCAAGCCTGGCGGCCTGTTTGGCTCATCCCAACCCGCCAGCAGCGGCATGTTCGGTGGACAAAACAACCAACAGCAGGGCGGCATGTTCGGAGGTGCCAACCAGCAGCAACAGCAACCGCAGAATTCCTTATTCGGTGGTTCGCTGCTGGGCAACTCGCAAGGAGTTAGCCAAGGCCCCCAGTCTCTCACGGCCAACATCAATGACGTCTCTGCGTACGGCTCGCCCTCGCTTTTCTCCAACTTGGGAGGTTCAGAGACGCCCAATCCCGGACCTCTAGCCACACCTCTTTCAAGCAAGTCTAAGCCTAGACGTAGCTCGATCTTGCCCATGTACAAGTTGAACCCCGCATCAGCCGCTCGCTTCGTCACTCCCCAAAAGCGAGGCTTCGGGTTTTCATACAGCACCTATGGTACCCCCGGTGGCAGTCCTTCAAGCGCAGCGAGCACTCCTGGCGGTGCCAGCCGAAGCTTGTTGGGTTCCTCGAGCTTCAATCGAAGCTTGAGCAAGAGCGTGTCAACCAGCAACCTGCGGAGAAGCTTCAATGCTGAAGATAGCATCCTTGCACCTGGTGCTTTCTCTGCCAGCTCTGGGCCTCGCTACTACGGCCAGAATGGAAGTGTCAAGAAACTGATCATCAACAAGGACATGCGCAGCGACCTATTCTCTACCCCGACCAAGGAAAAGCCTTCTACTGATCTGGTCAATGGCTCTCGCAAGCTGTCGAAGAGGGTCAGTTTTGATACTAGCACGATGGATGCCCCTGAAGTCGATGACAACGACAGTGTCTTGGGATCTACCCCAAGAGTTGGGACCGTCGCTCAAGAATCGACTCCCGCCAGTGTCAACGTTAACGGAAGCAAGCCCGCTAGCGCTTCCGCAGAGGCGGATCCCAGCAAGGGTAAAGAGCTCGCTATCGTTCATGAGGAGGACACTTCCTCCCAAGCACCCGAAGTCAACAAGGAGGGCCTCGACGTTACTCCCGGCGCCTACTGGATGAGTCCGACTAAGGAAGCTCTCGCCAACATGAACAGAATGCAGCGTCAACAAGTCACGAACTTCACTGTGGGCAGAGATAACGTCGGCAGTGTTCGCTTCAAGGTCCCCGTCGACCTTACCAATATTGACCTGGACGAGATCTTTGGCGGAATCGTCATCCTTGAAACCCGATCTGCGACCGTCTACCCCATTGCAGCCAAGAAGCCTCCTGTCGGCAAGGGACTGAATGTTCCGGCTCTCATCTCTCTGGAACAGTCTTGGCCACGCGGTAGAGATAAGCGCCCCAGCAACGATGCCAAGCGTTTCAACAAGCACATTGAGCGCCTCAAGCGCATCGAAGACACGACCTTTGAAAGCTACAACACCGATACTGGCGTGTGGAAGTTCTCCGTTGAACATTTTACCACCTACGGCTTGGAGTATGATGAGGATGACGACGAGCCCGAGCAGTCTGCAGTCCAGCAGTCCCACGAAGAGGTTTCTTTCAGCAACGCTTCTCAGGAAGACTCCTATGATTCGGAGTCTAGCCCACGTGAAGATGACACCTTTGACTTCCGCAGAAACAAGCGACGCGCTCTTCCCGGCGCATTCGACTATCGTGATGAAGACTTTGGTGGTATCGAAGATGCTCAACGCCCCTCCCAGCGCCAGTCTTTTTTAGGGGATAGCTTCGCGGGTTCGACGTCCAATGCGCTCATTCTGTCGACTGAAGAGGAGACAGACGATCAGGACAACGGATATGGCACGTCTGAGGATGAGGACATGGCGGGTACTCCAGTCAGACGCCATCTTGCCGCGGAGCAACCAATCGACTCGCCAGAAGGCGATGGTACTGCCCCAACAAGCGAAACACCAGGAGGCATCCTTCGAGCAAGGATGCGGGCACTGAAGGGTTCGGCTACTCCCATGAAGCTTCAGGTTGCCGGTGGAGATGAGTGGATGGACATGCTTCAGCGGTCTGTCAGCCCTCAAAAGAGAGATCGGGCGTTTTTGCGAAGTGCGAACGAGACAGCATTGCGTCCAACTGCCGACGATGCTGATGCAGTAAGCCAGAGAGGCCGAGTTGTGTCAGATGGCCGTGGATTCGCTACAAGCATCGATTTGATGAACTCGCTGTTTGAAAAGGCAAAGGCGCCGCCCATGCCTGCGCCGACAAGAGGCTTCGTTCAGGTTGGTGAATACTTCATGGTCTAGGGGTTGCTAAAACTCGGCAAACCGGTTTCGGGCTCTGATTGACTATCCTGTACTTAAGATGAGATCATTTGACTAAAATAAATTTCTTTCTAGTGGCCCTACGAGCGACAAACCAAGTCATTCGTTGACCAGTCCGATATGAGTGACGCCGACCAAGCCTTTCACAGTTCAATGAGGCCCACCTGGGGACCCGACGGAACCTTACTGTTCACATCGGTCCGTTCGTCTCTTGAGGATGCCAGCAAGCAAGGCGCAGCCAGCAACCTGATGATCACGAAGAATGTCATCCAAGCAGAAGGGCGAGAAATTCAAGCGGCCAAGTTTTCCAACGAGGTAAGCCCGTTTGGTGGCACGCCATGAAGTACAGCGACTAACACACGTCAGGACTCTGCTAAAGCCCTCGAAAACCATATTCGCCTGACCAACGTTGAGCTCACCGGGGGTGTCCCGAAGCTGTCGTTGCAGTCCGGTTCGCTCAAGTCTCTGTTCCATGATCAGGACTCAAGCAACCCTGCGAATGCTCACGAGAAGCTTGTTTGGGAGCTTGCCTGTATTCTCTTCGACGGTGACGCCAGCATCGAGTCTCGCAGAAGCACGCTATCCCAATTTTGGGCAACGCTTGTTGACTCTGCATCATCACGGTCTGTTGCTCTTGCAAAGTCCAGCGAAGAGAAGGCCATCGCAGCCTTGTCTGGTCACCGAGTCCAAGATGCCTGCAAGCACTTGCTAGACGGGAAAAACTTCCACCTTGCGACGCTAGTATCACTGATTGGTAGCAACGACCAGTCAAAGAAAGACATGCGCGAGCAACTCAGCGAGTGGCAAGACGCCAACTTCCTGTCTGAGTTCGCCGACCCTGTCCGAGCGATATATGAGATTCTAAGCGGCAACGTTTGCGTGTGTGAAGGGAAAAAGGAGGTTCCCCTTCATGACCGCATTGAGTCATTTGTCATCTCCGAACGATTTGGCCTAGATTGGAAGCAGGCATTCGGTCTTCGCTTGTGGTACTCAATTTCGCGCAAGGATGACCTTTCTGCCGCGGTCCGCGTGTTCAAGGAGGACGTGGCCCAGGATAGGGAGCAGCGTCCACAGACGTGGTACGTTGAGCAAGGCATTCCGGCACTCTGGGAAGACCAAGACCAAGACCTGCGGGAAGACCTCCTATGGGGTTTGCTCAAACTGTACGCGGACGGCGAGGCCGACTTGGAGGCTGTCTTGCGACCAGAGAACAGCCAATTATCACCACTGGACGTCCGGCTCAGCTGGCAACTCAGCCGCGCGCTCCTCTCTACTGGCAAGGTGGCGTATGGCCGCGACGCGACCGAAAAGGCTGACGCTCTGACAATTTCCTTTGCCGACCAGCTCATCAATGAGGGCAGTTGGCTGGAGGCTACCTTTGTGCTACTGCATCTCAGCCAGGCTGACAGAAAGGCGAAGGCTGTTCAGGATAATCTTTGCCGCCATGCTGCCCTTTTGGGCCCGGAAAACGGAAGTAACTTCACCACGCTCGCCCATACTCTGAAGGTGCCGGCCTCGTGGATTTGGGATGCCCAGGCTCTTTATATGCGAGCGGTGAAGAGAGATGCTGCTTCCGAAGTGCAGTGCCTTTTACGTGCCGGCTCATATTTCGAGGCCCACGAGGTTTTCGTGCACAAAGTTGCGCCTTCTGCCGTCATCAGCCGCGATTATAACGAGCTGGCCTCTATTCTGGCCCGTTTTGAGGATCACAAGAACGACATTGCAGGCTGGACTCTGGGTGGTGAGGTCTACAAGACCTTTTTGGAGCTTGTGGATCGTCGCAGGCAGCGACAACAGGTCTCTTCGTCTACTCTCGAGAAGTTGGTTGCAGGCCTTCCTGCTATGCGCGAGCATGCAGAGAGTGCCAATGTAACGAGTCTGGCAGCCATCTCAGAGATGAGCTCAACAGTGGCAAAGGTTATGGTGGAGACCTCCAGACAAGATCAGGTAAGAATGTCCGCGGGCCAGTTCTCGTTGACACGATGTACTAACAAAATCTCCTTCGCAGGACGTTCCTCGTGTATTAGGTCTCCCCGTCACAGAGGACGGTCACCTCAAACACTCCCTGCAACTAGGCCTTTCCTACTATGAAGGATTGATGGCCGGAGCCAGGTAGGGGATATGAGAATAGAAAAAATGGATAGAGAGAAGCTAGGGTGTAGAGGGAGAATGCTTTCTGGAGTTGGCCCTGGCGTCACGCACGCCCAGATGGAGGGAAAGGAAGCAATAATGTATCATGTATGTTGTAAGGCGTAGCTGCATTCTGGCGTATCCAGAAATCTATATGTTTTGCCTGAATGGCGTTGTACTGTCGGAAGCACCAAAATAATTGTTTTCATCGATTTAAATGGCCCAAATAGTGTGTGACATGTGTGTTTTTGCCTCTTGTTGCGTTGTAAGGTCGTGGGACGGGAGAATTGAATGTAGGTTCATGAGCCACTTGAGTCAACCCACTTTGAAACCTAATAAACACCGGTTGGGCGGGCGCTTGTTGCTGAGGATCTGGCTTTCACCTCCAAGTTTTAACAACACTTGCAATTCAATATTACACAAATTGAGAAGTTTTCGCACTCAACCATCGCTCATCTGGGTTTGTGCCAGCATACGTGGTGCCTCAACTACAGCACCCAATTCACCAAATCCTGCATGTAGCCACCATCGGCCATGTCACAGCCCAAAAACTGGCCCTCGGGTCTGCCATACCTTTTAGCGCCGGCACACTCCAAGCTCCTGAGCCAAGCACAACGGCAAGCCATCGCACAGAAACCCCCAGACGTGCCCGACATCCCCGCGCAAGCCACCGTGCTCCCCAGCCCGCTGGTCAAGATCACGCCCATCACAGACGCGGGGCACCCGGCCCAGGGCCAGTGCGGGCTCTTTGCGACACGGCACCTCAAGCCAGGGACGTTTGTCCTGCCGTACCTGGGCACGGTACACCCCGGGGCCGGGACCTTGGAAGCCGAAGCCGGGACGGAGAAGTCGGATTACGACCTGTGGCTGGACCGGGAGGCCGAGGTGGCGGTGGACGCGGACAAGGGCGGGAACGAGGCCAGGTTCATCAATGATTATCGGGGCGTTGGGGAGAGGCCTAATGCGGAGTTTCGGGAGGTTTGGTGTCAGAGGTGGAGGCAGAAGTGTATGGCTGTGTGGGTGCTGCCCGAGGGCAAGAATGGACGGGGGAAGGGGGGTATTGGGAAGGGGGAGGAGATTTTGGTGAGTTATGGGAAGGGGTTTTGGGGGAGTCGGAGGAATGAGGATGGTTGAGGTCCTTTTGGCATTAGAATTGTTATTGCCTAAATGAAGACACCTCACATGTGATATAGATGACAATGGGTTATTTGTATTGATCTACCTATTCTGTCGTCCAAGTGGCTAGGACTGACGTCCATCTCATCCCAGAACGAGGAAAAGAAAGGTCAGGATGGATTATAAGACAGCCAAATCCAAGCGACTCGGACTTTTTGGCCGATGTTATTGACTTGTGTCTGCCTGGCTTGGTAAGGCACCACAATGTGCTCAAGGTCTAAGAGGCTGTGCCAAAACATGCCTGGACCGATGGCGTACTCAAGAGTACTGGAACGTAAAAACAACGGCGAATACATGAGAATGGCTGCCACGGCTTCTCGTCTTTATCAAAAAATTGACCGGATGAGGCTCTCGAAAGTCTATAAATATAGTATCGAATACCTACCACTTACAGTCTGCATGTATCAAGCTAACTAGAGACAAAATGTTCACTTTGAATCACGCCGCCGGCCAACCATAATGTCCTGCGGTATACACAGCAGACCTTCAAGCCAAAGTCGGTTATTTTGTGGAACACTAGGATCTCACTTGTGAGCCTAGGTGGAAGGCATCATCACTTCTGAGCCGGGTGTGGTCAACCACTGCAGTCTGCTGCATATGAGTCGGGCAACGAAGTGTTTGACATCGGGATTGCACGAATCCCGTCCAAGCCTTACACGTACGAGACTACTAACGAGCACTTTTCTGCCAGGCATGGCGCCAAGTCGATGGCGCATTACTCTGCCTTTGCCCAGACGCGTACGATATTCGTTGGCAGTCCATTCAGGTTCATCTTTTCCCTTGAGATGTTAAGCATTCTGAACATGGATGCTGTTATGAAATAGATGCCAGTCCGAGTGCCGTGTTCCGCCCGCATCATACGAGATCTATCGTGTTCAACTCTACCAATTCTCCCGGTCTGACCAAGCTACCTTACTATGTATACATAATACGAATACATAAGTAGAAATCACGACAATAGTTTCCGTAAGGTAACCTATTTCGGGTAAGCATGTGTGCCAAGGATCCTTGGTGATTCTTGGGGGCTGAACATTTTGGAGGTAGTGACGACGACGATTATACGGGAAAGTGCACGGTGGGCAGTGTGGCCTATCATTTTAGGTTGGGTGGAGAAGGCACCGCCCGAAACGCAAATCAACGTTTGCCCGGGCCCAGGGGAGCTTCCATACTGTTGGCTGCGTGGCTGCTGCTTCCACCGTTCCATGCTCAATCTCCAGGCTCTAAGCGAGCTGTGGAGGACGCGCGCCCCTGTCATCCCGTAACTTACCTTAGGTTACCTTGCAGGTGTGGGCCGTACGGACTTCAGTAAACGCCTTTCTTTCCTGCCCGGGTGGCGTCCGGCGCGTTCATCCCGAATTTGCGCAAACTTCGAGACGTTCCGACGTTCATCTCAGGTGTCTGGAAAAGGAGTTTTGGCTCTACCCAGGAACCTTCAATTCGTCTTACTCCGACTCTGTAGTGACGAAGGGGAATCGAGTCGTTCAGTCTTCCTTCTCCCGACCAAGAGTCTGCGCCGAGTCTCAATCCTTAAGGGACCACTTTCATTACAAAGCGGCATCGCCATTTGTTTTCTTTCCCGTCGCTTTGACTCCGATTCCCTTCCTTCTCCCATGTCCAGGCACCCCGGGCCTGGCCAATTTTCAACGACATCCTCAACATCGTGCACATTTCGTATTGGAGACCTCCTCTCCTTCTACCTGCTGACCCCTTCGCCTCCATCGTCGACTTGGGCCTTCTACCTCAACACCTAACTCCGGACGACACTGAGAGGCAGTGGAAAGTAGAACACGCCCATCGGCCGACGCTCGCCAAACATGGCGTTCCTACGCCAAACATGGACACTCACATTAAAGAACTGGAAAATCATATTCCGCCACTCCATCTCCGCCATCTTCATCGCCTTTATTCTTCCTATAGCTCTGACCACCTTCTTCAGCTTTGCAAAGAATCTCTTTGTTCCTCCCGCTGTATATGGCGTTTCTGATCCGAGGCATATTCGCACTCTCCCAAACGCACTCAATGCTGCCGCCAGCGCTGGGAGACATAAAGTCGTCTTTGTAAATGGAGGCTTTTCTGGAGGTGACATCGACAAGGTCATCGATCAACTCGCCACTTCTGTCGAAAGCGCCGGCAAGACCGCTCTCCGCCGCACGTCCACTACTGAGCTATCGCTTGACTGTCCTACCAACCTTCGCGGCGTTTCCAATTGCTACGGAGCCGTTGTCTTCCAGTCATCGCCTTCAGAAGGAACCGGAGACTACTGGAACTATACCCTTCGCAGCGACGGGGCCTTGCGAAGTATCGTCATTGACGTCGACTCGGACAAAAACGATGCCCAGATCTACCTGCTGCCATTGCAGAGAGCCGTCGATGAGGCAATTGCTTCCGTTCAGGCCACTTCCGGTTCTACCTCAATTTCTGTCCAGCAAGGCCCTCTCCCCGGCACCGTCGACGAATATCCCTTTACCAGCCTAACCCAAGAAGAGCGTGCCGTCCGCGTTAGGATCAACTATCAAAGCGCCATCACGAACTGGATGGGCGTTGCCTTTATGACCAGCGTTCTTTTCATCACATATCACCTCACTGGCTTCATCGCGACCGAGCGCGAGAGTGGCATGATCCGCCTTGTTGATGCTATGATGCCCGTCAAACACAGATGGTTCACCCAGGCTGCCCGTATCATTTCCTACCACGCCGCTTTCACCGTCGTCTACCTTCCGGGATGGATCATAGGATCATTGGTGCTGCGTGCCGGCGTCTTTGCTCGTACCAACGTTGGCATCGTGCTTGTATATCATGTCCTGAACGGCATAGCCATGGCCTCCCTGTCTATCCTGGCATCTTCACTATTCAAGAAGGCTCAGATCAGCGGTATCGCCGCCGTACTCGCTATCATTCTCCTTGGAATACTCGCTCAGTCCATTAGCTACCCCAGTACCGCTGCCGTTGGTGTCCTCGCCTTTCTCTTCACTCCATGCAACTACGTGTACTTCATTACTTGGATGGCACGTTGGGAGCGAGAAGACCTCCCAGCCGACCTGTCCAAGGTCGCTCCCAAGAGCCCGTGGGATATTTCCGGCATCATTCTCTGGGTTTTCTTGATCATCCAGATTCTTGTGTACCCTTTGCTCGGCGCTGTGATCGAGTCCTCCTTGCACGGCACTACTACCAGAGGCAGAACGATCGTATTTAATCATGCTCAAGCTCAGTCCAACGCCGACGAGCCGGCTGTGCGCTTGCAAGGCTTCACCAAGGTCTACAGCCCTTCTCCGATCCGGCGTTTGTTCTCCTTCATCTCAAAGCCACGCGAGTCCGTTCGCGCAGTCGACGGCCTGACATTGGATGTTCGGAGAGGACAAATCCTGTGCTTGCTTGGTGCCAACGGTAGCGGAAAGTCCACAACATTGGACTCCATTGCTGGCACAAGCAAACTCACAGGCGGCACCATCACTATTGACGGTACCGGTGGACTAGGAATCGCCCCGCAAAAGAACGTCATGTGGGATGACCTGACCGTGGAGCAGCACATTCAGATATGCAACAGGCTCAAGTCCCCCGGAAAAGGTGCAAGCAAGCAGGAAATACAAGACCTAATAAGGTCTGTTGACTTGGAGACGAAAGCGAAAGCTGTGTCGAAGTCACTTTCTGGCGGCCAGAAACGCAAGTTGCAACTGGGCATGATGCTGACAGGAGGAAGCGCGGTTTGCTGTGTCGACGAGGTCTCGAGTGGCATCGACCCTCTGTCACGACGCAAGATTTGGGATATTCTACTAGCAGAGCGCGGAAGACGGACGATAATCCTCACAACACACTTTCTCGACGAGGCTGATCTCCTGGCCGACCACATCGCTATTCTTTCCAAGGGCACGCTACGTGCTGATGGCTCTTCAGTTGAGTTGAAAGATCGCCTGGGTGGCGGTTACCGAGTCCACGTGAACAAGGAGATAGGTATGGGCAATACACCCGACATCGAAGGAGTTCAGAAGAAGATACAATTCGATCTGGTTAGCTATATCGCCCCATCTTCGTCACTTGCCGCGCAGGTGATTCGCACTTTGGAAGCCAACAACTTTCACGATTACCGTTTCTCCGGGCCCACCATCGAGGACGTCTTTCTTCAATTGGCTGAGGAAATCCACGGTTCCAAGTCGAGCGAGATTGTCCCTGATTCAGGTTCAGATCTGAATGAGAAGGGGGTAGCTAGCGACAATGGCGCTACTCCTCAAGCTGGACTTCAACTCCTAAGCGGCCAGCAAATTGGATACATGCGGCAGGCTGCTATACTTTTCCGGAAAAGAACAACAATCCTCAAGACAAATTGGATTCCCTACCTTGCAGCATTCGTCTTACCCGTCGCAGCCGCTGGCCTCGTCACCCTATTTATCAAAGGCCAAACACAAAGTGGCTGCGCTCCGTCTGAAGAGCGCTCGCTTGATCAGACGCAAGGGTTCAGTCTCACGGATTTTACGTGGAAACTAGTCCTTGGACCTAGCTCGCGATTTGACCTCAACACTGCCGCCAGTGTTCTTCTGCCAGTATTCAACGCTGCTGCCGGCAGCTCTGGCAATGGTTCGACCTCCGGGACCGGAACCGACTTCGCAAGGCAACTACTCGCCGAGAACGCCACTTTCACAGACAGCTTCAGAGCCTTTCAAGACACCGTGGTTGCACGGCGGGTCGAGACTGTTCCTGGTGGTATCTGGCTCGGAGACGACTCCACGGTGCCCACCATTGCATACATGTCCAACTACAACGGTTTACTGAACCCTATTTTGAGTCAGAACATTTTAAATATGCTCCTTAGCAATGTTACTGTCATGATGGCATGGGCACCCTTCGCTACGCCTTGGCAGCCCAACGATGGCAACTCGCTACAGTTCCTCGTATATACCGGAATCGCACTTGCATGCTACCCCGGCTTCTTCGCCCTGTACCCAAGTCTGGAGCGTCGACGACAGGTTCGTGCCTTACAGTACAGCAATGGAGTTCGGGTTCTGCCCTTATGGGCGGCCTACTTGGCATTTGATTTCATCATCGTTCTCGCGTCAACAGCTTTGGTCACCATAATCTGGGCTGTTTCG